GGGTTGTGTGGTGATGATCGGCTTTCAATTGTGGCCTATAGATCGACACGAAAAAAGCGAAAAAAATAAGTTTTCGGTCCACTTCATACCATAATTATTATCTGATTATCTCCAAAAATTATAGGCGTTTTCTTTGACCATACCTGGATCCTCATGGAATATTTCAAAGCGATCAGCGTTATATTTCCGCCCTCTAGTGTGGTAATGGGTAACTAACTAATATGTAAGTTTAACTCCCACATTCGAGAACATACGACAATATAATTTGTATCAACCACTCCTCTTTGATATACTATCAACATCTCGGGTCCTCCAGAAGTAAATATATACGCAATAGAATAAACATGTTGTAATTTTTGACACAAAAGTCAGGGTCCAAAATAGGCTTGCTTATTGTTTGGCCCGATCCCCTTCTCTATGTGAAATTTCGTCGTCCGGTCATAAATGCGTGTAACATATATTATGTATTTAGTCCATTTCATCTCCTAAATATTAACCGATCTTCATTGGCCACAACTCATCCCACATGCAAAATTTCGTGAAGATTGATCGATAACTGTGGCCTGTATCGTGTTTACAAATTATAATGAACAGGCGGACGGACGGACACACATATCTAGATTGACTCAGCTAGGCGAGGTATTACGATCGGTGTACTTAAAGGTGGGTCTGGGACCAATATTTCGCCGCGTTACAAACTTTTGGGGCTGCACAAAGCTATAATACCCTGACAACATATAGGGTATGTTGTAGGGTATAAAAATACACACTTATTTTTATAAAATACACGAGTCCAAAAAATATATATTTTTTTTAAATCCATCAAAAAATATTTTTTATAAAATTGACGCTTCAGATAGTTCCTCAAATTTGTAACGTAGCGTCTCTTAAAAAATGATATTTTTTAAACATCCAGCCCTCAAAAATGTGTTTTTTTATACCCTTCACCACACTGTGGTACAGGGTATTATGCCTTTGTGCATATGTTTGTAACAGGCAAAAATAATCGAGATAGACCCTTGCTTCCTTTTGAGAATATGCAAAGAATCACTTTCTGAGTCGATTTATGCATGTCCGTCGGTCCGTCCGTCTGTCCATGTTAAATTGTAAACAAAGTACAGGTTGCATTTATGATCCGAATTGGATGAAATTTGGCACAGCTCATTTGTTTGGCCCAAAGACGAACCCTATTGAAAAATCGGTTCAGATTTAGATATATATCTTCTTCCGAGTTAAGTACTGAATTGTGCCTATAATAATGTGTGCTAAGTTTCATGAAAATGGGTTAAGATTTAGATATAGCTCCCATATATAGTTTCGCCCGATTTCAGGTAAATGGTGCACCAAAGTCCATATATATGTTTCGATTTGAACGAAATTTGACAAAGCGTACTGAATTAAGGGAACCCCACCCATTCTCGATTTAAATTTTTCAAGATTTTCAATGGGCTGGTAAATCAATACCAATGCTTGTTAAGGTTTGTAACTTTGCCCATATATATTTGAAGATTTAAAAGAGAAGAAAAATAATTTACAAAAAATGTTTGTTATTGTTTTTTGTAATTAAAGAAAAGTCATTATTTTTGATGGCGGGCATGATAACTCCTCACTGGAACATCGGATTCCGAAAATTCCAACGGTGTTAGAAAGAGTACATGTCTGGCTCTCGTATGAACTAGGATTATTGACTTCGCTTTAAAGTTAACAAAATGGTGCACCTTTGAAAAAATATTTTTGGAAAATCGCCGATTTTTTACCAAAAACCAAGTTAAAAAATAAGGAAACTCTTCACCGATTGGCTTTATCCTAGTTCAGAAACGTTGCAAAAGTCCCTATATATCTTTTGATTTGCACGAATTTTTGTAAAGGGTACTGAATTAAGTCTAAAAATAATATCAATTAGTCTCTGGCTAGTTTCCCTTCAGATATAGATATATAACAAAAACGCGACATCTATTAGGATACATATGTAGAATATGGTGAAGGGTATCATATAGTCGGCCCAGTCCGACTTTACTACTTTCCTTACTGGTTTTAATTCACGACAATGATCGATTTTCTAAAAATATACAATTTTGAAATTCATGTTTAGGATAGCCACTGAAAAAATATTTTTAAGAAATCCAGGCCTATGAAAATTCATGAACTATTTTTAAATAATAAAATAAAGTTTGTGATAGTCGCCTAAAAAATTTGTTTATAAAATAATCAACAAAAATCTGCCAAAACCAAATACCACATTTGAACCACTGTGTGTAAACCAAAAAAAACAGCAAAAACACACTTCACGACAAATTTAAAAAAAAACACAAAACACTCAAAAAAAAAAAACAAATTAACTAAAAAGTCACCAAAAACAATTCAAGTCTCCACACCATGCATACAGGAAGAGTTCATTGAGAAAATTGCTTTAGAAAATTTAGTATATTTTTGAGAGTGGTCCAGCGTGGAACAATCAAAATTTTTACTAAAAAAACGAACTTGAAACGAATTGTCAAAGGAAAATTCCAAAAACAAAAATAAAAAACCGGCAAACTCATAGCGACATAACCGAAAGGCACATTGTTTTCCACACAGCTACAACAACAACAAAATTAAGCATTTCAAAGAAAAGCCGGGCGGTCGATCGGTCGTGTTATTTCTTCCCCCAGGCAATTTCGACTATAATTATAATAAAACAAAGAAAGAAGTGAAGCTATATTAGAAGACAAAAAGTTGTGTGTTAAATATTCGACGACAACTAGGGAATCAGTTCAGCTAAGGAATTTACTTTCAGAGTGAAAAAAATAAATCTGATCCCTAAGAAACACAATTTTTAATATCTAAAAATATCCAGAGGCAAAAAAAAAAAAAAAACATCAACAACAACGACAAATATAAATTTTTTGTGTAGTTTTCTTTCAATATTTCCTTTTAGTAAAAAAGCATACAAGTCTGTGAGATAATTGAAATAAATCCAAAGTAGCGCCAAGAAAAATTGTTCATGTTCTACTCGTGGGATACGATAAAAACGAGCAAAAAGTTTTGATGTTTTCTTCAGCCTCAGAGTAATTGATTGTTGAAGAAAAAAACATTAATTTTTCCCAATAAAATATTATAGTTGGCACCGAGCCCACAACCACAAACAATTACCCAGGAAAAACGCCGGAAAACAGCAGACAACAATTTTACTTAAGAAAAATCGAAATACATCATTTTTCTGTACGTTGATATAACGAAGTAATTTCGAAGTTCGGTAAAACGCGTGACGGTCGTTGAAGTTTTTTTCTTTAAAAATGTTTTCACGGTTTCGTAATATTTTTTCGAAAAATAAAACGGACGCGGACGGAAATGTCGATTTGGAAACGAATTCGGTCGCCGATACAAATGTGACAACGGGCGCGAACGGCGAAACCCCCTCGTCTACAGAAGAACAAAAATTGGAGGGTTTGAATTTCCTAAAAAGTTTAGTTGAGAGTGAACGTGATCCATCCAGATCAATGTCAAGATCTGTGGAAAGATGTATTGAGAATGTTCCGGGGTCTTCATTCAGTCAAGAAGTGGAAGATTTGCTCAATGATAAGCTATCCGATATTAGTAGTGGTAATGAGATTCAAACTACCAGTGATGAAAGTGAGGAAAAAGTATCCGATTCGATTTTGAAAAAAATAATTTCCGAACAAATAGAAGCTGAACCCTTTAAAGGATCGACTACGAAAATGAACGAAAGTACAGAATTTTCTTCACTCCCTGAAGATAATTTAAAAATATCAACCGAAACCGATACTGTCCAAGATCTGTTACATAAAATGAAAACTGAAGTTGTAACTCTGAATTATGAAACCAAAGAAACTTCTCCTTTGCTCCCTGAGAGTAATGACTCTATACAAATTAATCATTCGGAAGAAAATACTAAGGCCTCTTCTGAAGAATCTTCTAAGCCATCGTTCGATAAAACAAATGGTGTCGAGAATTCAAATGTACTGGAAACTGAAGTCGGATCTGAATCTCTAAATACAGAAGAAGAATCTCAAGCCATAACTAAGGAATCGAAAACAAATGGTATCGAAGATTCGATTTTATTGAAAGCTGAAGTCGAATCCAAACCTTCACTCTCAGAAAATTTAGTTTCTCCTCAATCTCTAAATACAGAAGAAACATCTCAAGCCATAACTGAGGAATCTCCTAAGCCATGTGCGGAAAGCACCATAGAAAAAATTATCGATATTCAAGAAAATTCGAATAACAATACCCCTGATCTGCTCTCGAAGAGTCAAGAATCTCTAAAAACTGAAAATAACGAAGAAACTCCTCAGACCTCAACTGAGGAACCACTAAAGTCAGCTCTAGCTGTAGAGAACAATTCTAAATTACCCACCCCTGGTCTGCTCTCAAAGCGCCAAGAATCTCTAAAAACTGAAAATAACAAAGAAATCCCTCAGGTCTCAACTGAGGTACCACTAAAGTCATCTCTAGCTGTAGAGAAAAATTCTAAATTACCCACAAATGGAACGGGTGGTGATACAAATGAAGTTATCAATGATGAAATCCCGCTCTCGGAGAGCAATGATTCTCTAAAAACTCAACATACCGAGAAAAAAGCTAAAGCTATAAGTGAAGAATCTCACAAATCGGACAAAGAAGATACTCTTACCCCATCTAACAATTCTCAATTACCCTCTCGCGACTTGGGTGATTTAATGCCCGAAATTTGTAAAACCGAAAATGTAAATTCATGGGTTGAAGAAAATAATGCCATTTCAATACCACCAACACCATATCCTCTCATATCCACTGAATCCGCTAATAATCTTAATATCAAAAATTCTAGCATTGTAATTGAAGATCTGCCCTCGGAAATAACAGCACCCAGTCCTTCTATGGAGAGTTCTATATCGGGTAGCAGCAATAATACGAATAGCAGTAATAGTTCCACCAACACCAGCACTGTGGATTCTACAACAACACGTTTGGCAGCTGATCCCACCAAAATTGTTGTTACTCCGGTGGGTAGTAATGGTATGGCATGCTCTGCTATTACTGGTAAATTGACAGATATTGCTGAAGTGGCGGAGTCCTTGGATTCGGTAATACGTGATATTCAAGAGAATTCGCAGCGTGCAGAAGTTGAATCGATTACAACGGCAAGTCCACGTGATAAGAAGCTGGGCACCCTAAGGAGTACAAGTAGTGAGGTAAGTTTTATTTTAGAAAATTCTAAAAAGTTGTTATTAGAGGATGACATGTTCGACGATACTATACCCTAATCCACATTATGTTGACATCCACATTAGGATTCAAATGGACCTACAATTTGTGTGGAAAAAAGCAGAACAATATTATACGTCATTTGAAGAAGTTTTTAGTTTATCCAAGAAAATATGTATGTGATCACAATTGGTGTATAGGATAAAGTTGGGTTTTTGGAAACTCGTACTGGAACGGTACGAAAAGTATTTAAAAATACTAAATACCATTTGAATTTGGCAAGCCGGTAGAGCTAGAACTCATAAATTTTAAATGAGGGTCACTGATGGATTGTAGAATATATATATATATATATATATCAAAGGTTTTTTTGGACATTCGAACTATTAGTATGCGAAAAGTACTATAATGTACTTAATTTGGTACAATTTCGTAGCATGTGAATGGAAACAGCTAAAAACTTCAAATTTGGAATGCGAATTAGGGTTGAGAAGTAGGGTCGATATAAGGAGATGGCTTTGAAAGCGTGTACTCATGTGTACGAATAGTACTATATGGTACTGTATTTGGTACGAATTTGATTTGGAGGTACAAATCGAGCTGGAATCCTGGAATTTGAAATTAACATTACCGTCGGAGTGTAGGATTGGGATATGTACGTAGTTTTGGAAATTGTTTACTTATGTGTACGAAAAGTACTAAATCGTACTAAATCGATGTTGGGGTGTAGGATTGGGCTTTGTAGAAAGTTTTGGAAATTCGTAATAACTTATACTATGTTTGGTCAAATTAAATTTTGGGTGAATTAATAGAGCTGGAATCCTGAAATTTGGAGTTGGGGTCACTGTTGAGGTGTAGGATTGGGATATATAGAACGTTTTGAAAATTGGTACTAATGTATACAAAATGGTACCAAATGTGGATTTAGGTGAACTGATAGAGCCGGAATGCTGAAATTTCGAAATAAGATTAATGTTGGAGTGTAGCATCGGGATATGGATGTAGTTTTGGAAATTCGTACGTATGGCTACTAAACTTGGTACAATTTAAATTTTGGGAGAACTAATGGAGCTGGGATCCTGAAATTTGGAGTTAGGATCATTGTTGGGGTGTAGGATTAGGCTACGCAAAAAGTTTTGGAAATTAGTACTAATGTGGATTTAGATGAACCGATAGATCTGGAACGCTGAAATTTGGAAATAAGGTTACTGTTGGAGTGTTGGGTTAGGGTATAGATGTATTTTTGGAAATTCATACTTATGGGTACTAAATTCTACTTAATTTTGGTACAATTTGAATTTAGGGTGATCTGATAGAGCTGGATTCTAAAATATGGAGTTAGGATCATTGTTGGGATGTAGGGTAGGAGTATGTAGGAAGTTTTTGAAATTTGTACTAAATGGAGTTAGGTGAACCGATAGAGCTGGAATCTTGGCATATGGACATATCACTGTAGGGGTGTTGGATTGAGGTATGTAGGAAGTTTTGGATGACACTAAATTTGGATTTACAGTGAACCGATAGAGCTGGAATGCTGACATTGGGTAACAAATTTGAATTTTGGTGAACCTATGTTTGAAATGTGGATTTATTCTTCGAAATAAGTATTACAAGAGTACGAAGATCAATAAATGATACCAATTTTAGTATAGAGTTAGATTTCATGGTGTCTAGAGTTGAGATCTATATAAATTACAGCTAATTCGGTCAAAAATGTGCCCAAGCTCCAGAAAAATACCAAATATTGGGGAGTTGGCTTATATGGGGGTTAACATAAAAAGTACACCTAAATACATGATTTTTTTGCTACCCAATGGGATTAAAATTACAAAACTACATCAATTCAGGTAAAACACTTGATCATTTTTGTTAAGAAGATGTGTTATGTGATGTACGAGAAGTATTAGAATTAGTGCATAAAGGGCAAGATCGGTGTGAACGTTTCAGATTAGAGGCACCTCGTCGAGGGCAAAAGTCGACTTTTAGATTTTAGACATAATGACAAATTTGGTTGGAAAATGTGCCGATGACCCTATAAATGTTATACTTAACATGAAGTGGTATATTTTTTGCCCAGAATTGAGGCTAAAAAATTAAAAATGACGAAAAAGAAATCAAAAAAATCGATTATTTGGTGGCTATGTCAAAATATGGTCATATATCTGTTGACATATCCGCTATCCGACACATTTTCGATATATTGATCATATCCTAAGATTCCCAACCAAAGTGGCTGAAATTCACATCCACGGGTTCTTATAGGGGAAAAATACATGTTTCGACATAGTTCTCATATAAAGGTCCCATCGGTATATAGAAGATTTTAGTCTAATTTTGTCTTTGAAGGGCTGTAATGACATTCTGTGTATATAGTTACATAGTTTGACAAAGCAACCATATACAAGTTTTGTCACAGTTTCTGTATTTTTATGGTTTTATGCGAATTTATGAATGAAGTGGATGTTATTTAGTACTCCGGGTTCATGGGTGAAAAAGGTAGGGTCGTGGTCGGCCCCTTCCGAATATATTCCATTTTGCTTGTTGTTCATTATTTTATTGTACACATAGATTTACTTTTTAATTCGATTTATGCATGTCTGTACATCTTTGAATGTTAAATTGTAAACAAGGTACAGATCGCATTTATGATCCGAATTGGATGAAATATGGCACGGTCCACTTATTTGGGCCAAGAACAAAACCTATTGAAATTGGAGAAAATCGGTATGAGATTTAGATATAGCTAACATATTTTAGTCCGATTTTATATAATAGGTGCACCAAACTCGCAACATATGTTCCAATGAGACACTATTTGGAATACCATATCGGATTGAGTCTAGAATAATGTGTGCTATGTTTTGTTGAAATCAGTTCATATATATATATATATATATATATATTCGTCCGATTTTATTTGAATGGTGCACAATGTTCGTCCGATTAAGACGAAATTTGTGTAGTGTGTACGTATAGTGTCTATATTACTGCTAAGATTTAGATATAGCCCCCTTATATATGTTCGAACGATTTAAAACAAATTGTGCACCAAGATCCCTATATTTATTTCGATTTAGTTGAGTCTAAATTGATGAGTGATAAGTTTCGTTTCAGTCGGTTAAGATTTAGATATCGGAGGATCATATATAGGGAAATATGATCCTCCGATTTAATGTTAATGGTGTACTAAACTCCCAATTATTCTCCGATTAAGGCGAAAATTGGAAAACTACATTGTTTTCCATTGTTGTTATATCTGTACCTGGCAAAAAGAATCTAAGAAGCAAATCTTGTATATACCCAAAGTGATGAAGGGTGTCATATAGTCGGCTCTGCCCGACTTTTCAGTTTTCCTTACTGATTTTTAGATAAATGTATAGCTATTTATAAATGTATAGCTATCGTTGAACCTATATTTAACTATAACATTTATATATCATTATTAATATTTGTATCCATTATATTTTAGGATTGGCATTCCCGTTCCACGGAAGATGATTCATTTGTAACGGCCTCAGAGGGTCGTACATCATCCTATATGAGCTGCAATCAACGTTCATTCGACTACAGCGAAGGTGATGATTCTACACTGGCCTTTGATATGCCCGATATTAATTCACCGTTCAATATGTCATTCGATGAATCGGAACAAAGTTTCATCTCTGCCCAACAGGATGCAAGTAAAACACCAACAAAATTATCCGATAATGTTGATGGCGCTCTGGATGAAGAGGATCTTGAAGATCCCAGTAGTTTGGCTGATATTGAAGATTTACACAGTGAAAGTGTTACACCGACACCAGCCGAAACAGAAGAGCTATATGTTGATAGTATACCGATAGAATCGGAAACTGAATTAGAAGTGGCGGGTATTGTTGATGCACCCACATTAGATGTTTTAACCGAAAATGCCGCTGTACCATTGTCCGTAACACCAGAGGTGAGCTCAAAACAATGTGAATTAAATGCTGATGAAGATGATGCTTCTGCAACAACGACCGCTAATATTTCCCAATGCAATAACACTAACCATAATGCCAATAACAACAACAACAATGCGACAAAGCCAAATGCTGCCTGGCGTCGTAGTAAATATTATGAAAATATAACAAAACAAACAATAAAAGGATTTTTATGAGAAAGATATCTAATTTCTATGTTTGATTGTCACATGTAACCTTTTTTTGTTTGTTTTGCTTACTTGAACTTTATCAATTTTAACCCTGAACTTGTCAACTTATTTTCTTTTTTTAATAATTTATTGTTACTTTTTTTACTAATTTATATTTATCAGACGAATTTGTTTTTCGTGCGTGTCAACTAGGCACGTAGTCAACCGAAATGATTGCGTGGGCTAGCAAGTTATTTTTTATTGTTATTATATTTTCAAAATTGAAAGAAGAAAATTATAATTAATATTCAAGTTTTATTTTACGCATGCCTGTATTTATTTTAAATTTATTAGTTCGTTTTTTTATTTTCTAAAAATAAATATTGAGAATTCCAAACATTGTTCTTTTGCTTTATGTTATAATTATAAATTTTGGTTTTTATTTAAATGTTTTATTATTTTTATTTTTAATGTTTAATAATAATCTCGATATGTAATTTTTTATTATTTATATTAATATATTGTAAAATAAAATGTTGCATTTAATTTAATTTACCTAATCAAACATTTTAGTCAATATTTTTAGTGTTTAACAGCCTGTTTTTGTAAAATTTCAATATTAAGCAAATTCAGTTTTTTACGACCAAACTCCTTGGTTTTGAAAAATATGTCATTTATTTTTGTTTTGAATCAGAAAAACTTTATAAACATAAATAAAGGTTTGTTCGTAAGCCACTCGAATTCGTTCGTTTGAAATTTTTAACAAAAACAGGCTGTAAGTCTTTAGGTTAATAAATTAAATATTATAGCAAATACATTTTTTTAAATATTTACTTGAATAAATTATAACAAATATGTCTATATCAAAAATTTTCAAATTACAATTTTAATATGGTGTACAATTATATTTAAAAAAAGTAACGAATTCAATCTATATCATTGTCAAAAATAACGAAATATATTTTCCGACTTGAAAACAAGACGAAAAAAAATTAATGGATATTTTCATAATTTCATTCATTGTTTATTTTTTCCATATCGTACTTGTACGTCGCTTAGAATACACTAACAAATCTTATAATCAGAAGAAAGCTACAATTATTTAAAAAAAAATGAAACATTTCATTAATTTTAAAACTATTTCAGTACTTCGCTTTACTCTACCACTCTTTGCGCTTATTTTCTCTCTCTCTCCTTCTCTCTAAATTTTTTGGCAAAAACAAATGTAAGTAACCCGTCTGTTGTGTTTGTTTTGGTGTTGCCCTCTGTCTCTCCTCTCAATTGGTGGTTGATAGTTTTCAACCGCTTGTTTGTCTACTGTTTCTACTGTTTCTCATGTTTACAACTGCGGTCTCTACACTCACTCAATTGTGTCTTGTTTTGCATTCCATTGTTTCTTTATTTCAGACACTGTTACCGAACTCTGCATTGGTGTTATAAAATTCGCATATACATTTTCCAAAATATTTTGATATAAATGTTAAAATCTAATATAACAAATAAGTGCTAACAAATAACAAATAAGTGCTGATTTTTGGTACTATTTAAAAACATAGTTAACCGTTAATTTCAAATGCTTAAACATTGTTTTTTTGCTAATAATCTCTAATATAATTAATAAAACATATATGTTTATACTATAGTAATTAAAATTGAATAAAAATAGAGTTGATCCGCTTCAAGTTTATTTTAATTTTTGTAGGGTTTCAGCTATATATTTGTAAACAATTTTATATTCGAGTAAAAGAAAAATAACGTAACGTAGAGTAATAACGTAGTATCGCCATAGTCTGAAAATTATTATTATTAGATTTAGAAATATCTTCCATATATTTATTTTACTCTGATTTTATGTAAATGGTGCACCGAAGCGCCTATATTTATTTCGAATAACAAGTTTTAAACTGAGTCTAGAATTATGTGTGCTAAGTTGAAATCTGTTCAGATTTATATATAGCTCTCAAATATATTCGTACGATTATTGTAAATGGTGTACCAAACTCCCAATAAGGGGATCACCCTACCCCATTCTCGGTTTCAAAAAATTTCATTTTGTATTCTGATTTAATTCGAATCTACACTAATTCAAGAATGCCCCTATGAAATTTCAAGTGAAAATTCAACCCTTAAGACGAAAGTGGATAGATTTATGGATTAATAAAAATAATTCATTGTATCTTTGAAATATGTTTTTATTCTATCGACTTGTCATTGTAGATATACGACCAAATTAATTAAAGAATGACGTATGTTGTATTTGATATATATCGATATATGTCTTACTGTACCTTACAAAAGGAATCATAGGAATAGCTTTTGTATATACACAAAATGACGAAGGGTATCGTATAGTTAGCCCGTCCGACTTTGGAATTTTCTCTGCTGGTTTATTATAAAGCACTAGACCACTTAAATGACCCCCACGCAAACTTGTGCACTTTTCGAAGCATATTGGGTGGTATCTCAGTCATAACTTGACTAAAATTGAATGTTTGTCTGCATAAACACTGTCGGTCTGTAGCCCCATAAAAAAGGGTGTTAAATCGCATAGTTGAAACCACATATTCTCCAAGTCATCTCCTTCAATGGCAGGCTTCGCATTGATATTGTCGTTATCGTAAAAGTAAGGTTTAATCACTGCTTCAGACCAAGAAGCGCATCAAACAGTGACTTTTTCTTCGATTACTTGGAGATTCTCAGAACACCAAATACGTCAATTTGGTTTACTTACAAATATACCGAGAGAGAAGTGTGTTTCATCCCCGAAGAAATTTTTATTTGAAAAATTGCCGTCTCTATCCTGTTGTTGAAACACTCAGTCCACGTATCTACGACGTTGTGAATGGTCGGATGGTTTCAGTTTTTAAGTCAGCGGGACTATGTAAATGTAGATACGAAAGCATAATACACCATCGTGTGCTGTAATACAGACCTAATTCCTGAGAACAACGACCCATTCGGGTCGTCGGCAACACTTTCACTTACAACAGCGATATTTTCAGCGGAACAAGCGAAATGATGATGCTCTTTAAATTTCTTCACAATTTCACCAAATGGACGATATGTGGCTGTGACAGAATCACCATGTTTGTAATAAGTTTTGATAATTTTTATACGTAGTGATCCATTTCCGTCAATGGCAGACTTTCAACTGAAAAAATACTTTAACAACTTAGATTGACAGCTGCCGAATTCTAGTTTCATACTTTTGAAACCACAAAATGGATAACCCTGTATAATCTTAGCCCCAACTTCATACTGTGTAAAACCATCGGGGTAATGTAATTTTCTATAAACGAGAGATTTTACAGGTAAATGTGTCGACAAAATTGAAAAACATATGGAATATTAGTTGGATAAAGTGTCTTCGCTTCGTCGGACCTGTTAATGGGTTAACACATAGATTTACAGGAATAGTAAGAAATAAATATGATATCTAATAATATAAACTTGTAACAACGTGATTTATTATTTACTCTTTTGGATTTTTATTTGAACTAGTGTAAATGCCATCTTGCCGCAGGTCCATCGCTAAGTCATACTACAAAATAAAATGTTTAAAATTTATAGCATATTTCTAGGCGATTCATAAAATGCTACACGTTAAAAAATAGATGGGGAAATACTTATTGAAATGAGAAGATAAAGTAAAACGGGATACCCCAACAAATTGTTTATAATAACAAATAAAAACCAGTTAGCGAAGCTGTATAGTCGAGCGGAACCGAACATATGATACCCTACACAACTTCCACGAAAATCTACCATTCTGGGGTTCTATATTCTAAGCTTGGCAACAAATATTACTAATATTCAGTACAACATTGTTATCTGATCATCACCGAAAATTATATGCGCTGTCCTTGACCTGGATCCTCATGGAAAATTTCAAAGCGATCAGAGCTATATTTCTGCCCTCTAGTGCGGTAATGGGTTAATAAATAATATATGAATACGTAAGCACCTGTAAATATATTTTGGCCAAAACCCATCCTAATTCAAAATTTCGTGAATATTGGTACATAACTGTGGCCACATGTCCAGATCGACTCAGCTAGTCGATATATGACGATCGATATGCTTAACCCTTTGAGCCCGAATTTTTTCCGCAATCTTAGAACAACTTTCACTTCACAGATTTAATGCAACTATCCTAAATAGAATATACACAAAATTTGACATCGCTACATACTTGCATTCGGGAGATACAGTACATTCATTTGGAAAAATTAAAGCCCAATATTAAGAAAACCAAATGCAAAATCCGCAGAAAAATCATTTTAAATTATTCTCTAAATTTATTTTTACTAGAATCAAAAATAATTCTGATGGCAGAATTTTTAATTTAATATTCTTAATTTAATTCTTAATTTGAATACGAAGCTATTTGAATAATTTGGACTGTATACACAACTTAGTACTGTACACACATTTTCCCTCTTCGATTTATTGAAAAGCTCATAACTTTATCAACATTTTGAATTTTTTGATTTTTTTTTATATGTATCGTCCATAATCAGGTCTTTACATATGAAATCCAAACAAATAAAAAAATTTTGTTGCTTGTGGGCAACATTGGACCACAAAGGGTTAAAGGTGGGTCTAAGACCAATATATCGACTCAGCTAGTCGAAATATGACGATCGGTATACTTAAAGGTGGGTCTAAGACCAATATTTCGCGGCGTTACAAACTCTTGAGGCTGCACAAAGCTATAATACCCTGACAACATAGATGTGTATGGTATAATGACGTTTAATACCCTCTACCATAAGGTGTTCAATTATGATACTATTAATCGTTCGAGTCTTCAGAGTTGGCGGTTTATGTCTTCGTAAATTGTTGGTCGGAAGATTTTACACCCAATGAAAATCAATTTTTTTGGTACTCATTGAGTAGAAAATCTCCCTCTAATTATTCCCTATGTAACTCGCTTATCCGGTATTTTGTGGGGTTGGGTACGTTTTTGAACCGAATTGTCTTTTATTTGGTATAACTCCTATATAAATGTACTGACCCATTTTCGG